ATATTGAAGAGCATGTGAGATCAGAATAATCGTGCCACAAGTGAAGCTCAATACAATTACAAATACACTGATACGTTTTTTGGGAGTCGCAGTTGCAGTTCAGGGGAATTTTTTTGCCATCTCTAGCAATATTAATGTGTGATATTTATGATATTCGAAATCCAGTGATTTATGGCCGTCAAAGCTCGAACAGTCAAAGTCGAACAAACTTTGTAAATGTTGTCCCTGCTCCACTTTTGTCAGACGACCACAGGGAAAAAAATCCTCTGCACTTATTTTCACTTAATTTTCAATAATTTTGAACACCATTAGCCATCACCCAGCAAATCAGTAAAAGGTCGACAGTGTCGGCAAAGGCCACCCAGACATATACCACATGAAAGGAACTAGGAACAGTAAACTGGCAATAGTGCAGGCTGGCCGTACATATTGCGTCGCCGCTGCTACGGTGATATGAAGCGCCGGTCGCCATTCTCGACTAAAAGGATACTCAAAAAAAAGTCGGACAACCTTCATTTGGCTTAATAATTGTCTGTGATCGATGTCGCCTACCACGATTTCGGCAAGCATCTTTGGCAGCGACGCAGCTCGGTTTCTCTGAGTGACCCAGCATGTGCTTCTTCGATGGAAAAAAGAGTTTTTGTTTTACCAGTCAGATCTCTTCCTGGTGGGTGGAAGAAACAGATCAATGCCGAGTATTCCTCCCACCTATTCAGCTGAGCAGCACTTCTAAGGCAGTAGGCTTGGAAGTGGGGGTCCACCACCGGATGCTGTGACGCGCTATGAGCGATTTAACGGTCTAACCTCAGCTGCTTTCAATTGTTACTCCTTTCAGCCACCAAGCTAATATTCGCGCGACATCCTTTAAATCACCTGTTATCAATCCTTCTGTTGCTGTATTGTGAGCTGTTCGGTAACGTTCCCTTGTAGCGTCCCTTAACAAATCTTATCAGCTGCTATCAATTCCTGTGAACCGCAAACCATATCTTGTAATCAACGTACCTCCGTTTCTCCAGCGCGTGCTAGATTATTATAAATGGTAAGATTAATAAATATTCATGTTTTTGGAGCTTTTTGTGGACAAATGACTGTGGATATGGCTACAATGCAAACATATACGAACCCAAAAATGAAAAGTTGTACAAATGCAAAACTTTGTTACCACGGGGATCGAACATCAGCCTGCTGCAGAAATGAGCCTCGGCTTCATAGTCCACGCACGTTTTCCCACA